AGCTTTGATATTGGCTTCTAGATCAATATTAACGAGCAGCATTTGTTTAAACAAGCACAGTCAAGACTCGATTTGACGTTTAGTGTCTCACCAGCTGTCAGGCCTAATAAACTCATGCTGCTGAATTGTATGTACGTGTGTTGAACGTTTTCCACACCATATGTAGCCAACCGTGCTCATATTGTCAAAAGCACTCCATCTGCACAAGAGAGCACTCTTTAAACCTCAATCAAAAAGCAATGTAGAGTAGTCTAAACTCTCATTATGTACGGTTGTGATGAATATGGGCAATAATGATCAAAACATTTTTGAGATACTTCCATTCATATCTCTGGAGCACGGATTGTCTCATTATCCATAACGGCCCATAACAAATCACTTTGAAGGGTTTTCTTTAGAATGTGTTTTCAGGTTGTACCACGAGCTTCCAGAAGAAGCTCCCAGTGCGTGGAGTGAAACTCGTCATGCTTTTCAAGCGGGAGCGCGAAGATTCTACGCAGCAGAAAAGGAAGCGTTCGGCATTGTAACTGGTTGGTCTTCAGGAATTTAGAGTGTTGTGGTAGGCGAAGTTGGGTTAAATGGTATTGTCAGATCAATAATGTATTCCGAAAAGTTAATATTCGGATTCATAGTTTGTTTCTTTCGGTAAAGTCACATAGATAGAAAAAGAAAAAAAGAAAGTGAATAAAAAATAATAAAAAACAAAAAACACATGTAGACTGTAGCCTGGTTCTTAATCGGAGTGAGTGTACTGGCAGTCTATAATGTAGACTGTAGCCTGGCTCTTAGTCTCGATGAGTGTACTGGCAGTCTATAATGTAGACTGTAGCCTGGTTTTTAAGCTGGTGAGCGTATTGGAAGTCTATGATGCAGACTGTAGCAATGGTTATTAAACTGAGTGAGCGTATGCTTAGTTCTTTCGGTAAAGTCACGTTGAAGGGAAACAACAAAATAATATATATATAAAACGTGACTTTACCGAAAGAACTAAGAATATGAATTACTGCAGTCACGAAAGCTTTAAATCAAAATTTTTAGTGAGCGTACTGGCAGTCTATAATGTAGACTTATTCTTGGTTCTTTCAGTAATTTAAATATACGAATACAAATGATCAATAAAAACAAAAACCACGACGTTTCGATTAAAACACAAGCGGTCGTCATCAGGAAAAGGGGGGTTAGCCTCTAAAGGCAAACTGTTTATAAAGGTTTAGAGATGGGCGTAGCCCAAGTGTGTCAGCAGCATGGGCGGGGCAGCTAATGTTAATGTAGCCCAAGTGTGTCAGCAGCATGGGCGGGGCAGCTTATGTTAATGTAGCCCAAGTGTCAGCAGCATGGGCGGGGCAGCTTATGTTAATATAGCCCAAGTGTGTCAGCAGCATGGGCGGGCAGCTAATGTTAATGTAGCCCAAGTGTGTCAGCAGCATGGGCGGGGCAGCTAATGTTAATGTAGCCCAAGTGTGTCATCAGAATGGGCGGAGCAGCTAATGTTAATGTAGCCCAAGTGTGTCAGCAGCATGGGCGGGGCAGCTAATGTTAATGTAGCCCAAGTGTGTCAGCAGCATGGGCGGGGCAGCTAATGTTAATGTAGCACAAGTGTGTCATCAGAATGGGCGGGGCAGCTTATGTTAATGTGGCCCAAGTGTGTCAGCAGCATGGGCGGGGCAGCTAATGTTAATGTAGCCCAAGTGTGTCATCAGAATGGGCAGGGCAGCTAATGTTAATGTAGGAGAAAGCAACGCCAACGCAGTGGGTCTACACCAATCAAAGGGCCGCCAGGCAATCATTGCACCTCGCTCCACATACTCACACTGCTGACGGTGGAGGTTGACAAGAAAACACAAATGTCATGACCCAAAGTGGTTGATGACATCTTTGCAATGGTTGCTGAGTTTATAACCATCCTCTCGGTTGAAATTGTGTCTGTGTCTACATCTGATTGGGAACATGTAGATAACATGACTGTTTCATCAGCCACTGCAATGTCAGCTAACTAGCCTAGTTAATAATAACTCGCCTTTTGCCCGTCCAAGGACGGGTGCATTGCAGTAAATCTGAGACTTGCAAGCGAAAAGCAGATCGCGATGTGATATTCATTGCATCAATTCGTGTGCAGTTTGTAAGGGCGCGGTGACGCAGACCTATTTAATTTAAAGTTTATAATCCCTTGTTCATCATGACGTCCTTTTTACTTCTATGTCTCAACAGCGTCACGGAGATCACGTGATGACGTGAGGGTTCTGCCTTTGTAGTGAGGGTTGTGAGTTGACGCCAAGGAGGGGGGAGGAGGCGCCTCGCCCCCCCCCCCCATGTGCAGTGACGTCACCCGCTAATTATTATGATGGGGGGGGGGTGTCCATTCGGAGGACGTCACCTTATAATGATTGTAAATGAGGGGGGCTGTTAGATGTGGAGTGACGTCACCTACTCATGATTATTAATGGGGGGGGGGTCCATGTGGAGGACGTAACCTGTTCATGATTATTAATGAGGGGGGCTGGTCGATGTGCAGTGACGTCACGAGCATTAAGGACAGACATTCCTGGGTGATTATACTAGGTATTACACAAGATGGAAAATAAGTCCATTTGGCCGAAACTTAGAGATATTCCTTAACTTACGCAGTAATGATGTTTTTTTTTAGGATGTATAATAAAATGCAGTTGTCTAACAATAACTTGCGTAAACAGACCTCCGTTGACATACAAATGAAACTTGCATTAGTCATCCGCCTTTTTCTCTTCCAGACCAAACATATCTGGAAACATTTGTTTAAGCGAGCAAAACTCTGGACCGGTTTCTACCTTCCGGATCTCATCTGAGGCGGTAACCGTCCTTGTAAAGATGCTTTCAGATGCCCTTCTACCGCCGTCTGTGACGCTCTTCCATCCAATACGAGGAATCCGCTGGAGCTGTGCACTGTTAAATCATCTAAATTGACAAACTCATTAATCGAGAACCGCTTTTCGTGTTCAGTTTGTTCCTCTCCCCCGCCCCGCACCTCCGATTATCACGGTTGGCTCCGTACGGTGCGAAAGAAGTTCAACACAAACACGTACGGCTGAGTTTTAGAACAGATCGCCGCAACACATGTGCTATGGGAGAAGAGCGGAGGTAAAGGACCCCCCCCCCTACCTGCGTCTCCCCCCCCCCCCCACCACCTTGCAGTGGTGGTGGTGGGGGGGGACGCGAGCTGACAGCGCACCAACGCGTTCCCAGGGATTCGTGCTCTGGGCACGTCGTCCACTCCGCACCACACCGCGCGGGCAGCCGAGCGCGTACGGCTCCGCGCCCCGAAGCGACAATCCGTCGGTGCTGATGTGTCGGGCTCAGCTGTCCCACGCAGCCAATGGGCTCGCTTATGGCCTTATTGTTGTTTGTTTCTTTCTTTTTTTGGGCGGATGTGGATATTATTTTCACCGCCGCGCTGCCGCGGTTGTAACGGTTCGCGCCACTGGGCTTGCAATGCCAGATGGATGACGCGTACTCGATTCCGTCTTCCGGCGGGGTGCAGGTGTCTTGAAATCGCCACCGCCTCTGTCCAACGAGCAGTAACAAATGAGCGACAGCCGCAGTTAGTCGCTAGGCAGGGTTCGTGTATGGTGGGGAAAAGTGTGGGCAACACCCACCTCTTCAAAGAAATCTCCGGCCAGCATGGAAGAATGGGCCCTCTTGAGCTTCGTTTATTCGAGGTCCCTTCTGCCAGTAGTGGATGGAGAGAGTGGCTGCACCTCAGTTATGTTTGCAACCTACACTGCCTCCCATGCTTTGTTTATTTGTTTTTTTTCAATTCTCTTTTTGGTGTGGTGTTGCAACTGCATGCTTTTTTAAATCGTGATCAAGGTGCAGCTGTGTTCGTAGATGTGTACGCGCCTGTTGTCCATTGTGGGGTTTTATTTTTCTGAACTATTTTGCCTGTTAGATGTCGCCCATAATGCAAAGGCCAGCACCATTGAGGACCTGGATTTTCGTCCAGCTGATCGCCCATGACAACCTATGTTCAACATGATGCTAAACTTGGTTGGGCTATTATTTTCTGAAAAAGAGCTATATAGCAGCTCAGTGTTGTCTTACCTGGTAAGTAAAAAAAAAATAGTAACATCGGAGCGATTGGAGGACCAAAGCGCGTTAACATTCCCAGGGCACGCACACAAACATCTTGCGAGCCTCACTTGGCCGAGTGCTCCCCACAACTTTGCTTTTAGTGCGGACAAAAGTAAAAAAAAAATCATTATACATTTTTTTCTTTATTTCAACCACAACCTCATATATTTGTGGAGCACAAACACAGAACCATAAAAAATCTTTTTTCAAACCCCGGCAATTTGTTGGGGGGCTTCTTACTGTGGGTGGGAACCACACGAGCTGTTTATTGAACAGGCTCACGGCACTGCCCTCCACGTTTTTCATGTGCTCTCAATGTCAAGAGTCGATTCACTCGTGCATTCGCTTGATTAACACGCAGGGTTAATGCTGGCTGTGCTGCGTGGATGGATGCCACGGTAATATGGATGGGTAGATCGCTGGATATTGTGCTGTTGGAGTCTGTATGCTGTTGATGGGTGTGATTCTTTCTAGAGCGGTGTGTGGGCTGTCTCTTTTTCGTGTGTTCAGTGGTGTCAGGTCTGCTGTGTTGGTGGATGTATTGTGTGGGGTGCTGTGTTGGTGGGTGTGTGCATTGTGTGATATGCTATATAGTGGGTGCGCTGCGTTGTGTAATGTAGCGGGTGTGCTGTGGTGCAGTGTGGTGTGCCGTGTTGTAGTATGGTGTGCTGTATTGTGGCGGTGTTGCGTTGATGTGTGCTGTGCTGTGGTGCAGTGTGGTGTGCTGTATCGTGGGGTGTGCTGCGTTGATGTGTGCTGTGCTGTGGTGCAGTGTGGTGTGCTGTATCGTGGGGCGTGCTGCGTTGATGTGTGCTGTGCTGTGGTGCTGTGTGGTGTGCTGTATCGTGGGGTGTGCTGCGTTGATGTGTGCTGCGCTGTGCTTCGCTGTGGTGCAGGGTGGTGTGGCTGAGCCTGACCTCGCTCGTGGTGCTCGTTGTGTGCACCGACTGGATCAGCTGGGACGCCATCAACCATGGCTTCCTCCCGAGCAACGAGGTGTCGCGTGCCTTCCTCGCCTCCTTCATCCTCGTCTTCGATCTGCTCATCGTCATGCAGGTGCCACGCACACTGATACCCCGTGTGCTATTCAGTTCAGTCGTCCGTAACTTAAATACCGTAACGTTTAAACCTCTTGTGGTGTTTTGAACGAACACCGCGGGCACTTTGGTGGCGGCAATGTTTTAGCGCAACGGACTTGCAATCCAGAGGTCGCCAGTTTGACCCCCCCTCGCCGCCGCCCGCTCCCCCGTGTGTGGCAGTTGAAACAATGGGGCAGTTTTTCCCTGCCTCTGTGTGCACGGTGTATGAGCGGGTAACATCACGGTTAGTCGACTGGCACGTCGCGTTTGGTGCGTTAAAGGGTACTGCCACCGCTCTCCATAGATCTGGCCAGTGTGGAAAAGTAGCCCAAAATACCGTCGAGTGGACCTCTCCCGCACTCTCTCTGGTTGAGGCCCTTCTGCCTGCCGGATGTTGCATGATGTAGCAATTACAGGGCTGCTCCTTTATCTTTTGCCTATTTATTGCATGGTATTTGGTGTTCCATAAAAAAAAAGTGTCACGTTTAATGACTCAACTTTTTTTAATAAAAAAAAATTGCCCTGTTCGTATTCAAATAATTCGAGCATCTCAGAGCTTTCCAACATTACACATTTTTTTCTCAAGAATGCACTATTTTTATCGTCTACTTCTTCGTTATCGCCGACCGCCGTGGGATGAAATCTTTCACGCGCATCGAAAATGCATTCACTCCAACAAATATTAATTGCGTCAACAAATTTACGTCCTCTCTCTGTTTGAGGCCGGTCACGAAAGCTTTAAATCGAAATTTACGTCCTGTTTGTTGCAAGTTAGACACGTGTTTAACGAAGGCCCTGTACTTGTTATCCAACATTATGAACTATCTAAAATAAAATATTCAAATACATGGCACTTACTTGAACCAAACCCCACCCCCCCCCAAAAGATTATCTACAGTGCTTTGTAAAGCAAACGAATTAGTTGGTGATACTGCATTGGCAGTTGTGCACAAGCACAGATTAAAAAAAACTAACAAAAATAACACGAAGAACAACAAACACTGACAAACGTGTTGAGGTTTTTTTTTTTGTGAAGTTAAGGGACCGCTACGGTTGCTTTTCCCCAATTCGAAATTCTCCCCCACCAGCAAAAAAAATGACACACGTCACAACAATTCAGTGCACATGCTAAGCCTGCATGATCAGCCTTAACAGTGACTGCCATCGTGGCTAGCTCCAGATTGATATTTAAAATCCATTACAGTCACTTATGCACCTTCGAGTGCTCAATAGTCGTTGACATCTCAGAGACCTTTGTGCATCAGTTCATGCTGAGGGGAGTGCATCTCACACTCGTATATTAAAATGTCACGGAGCAAGAGCCAATCAGCCATTTCCCATGCTTGGTTTGAGATCTGATTGCTTGCTGCAGATCAGCAGGAAAGCTGCATTTAAAAGAAAAAATTCAAGACGAGTCGATTTGACTTTTAGCACCATTTAAAATGTCATTTTCTATTTCCACTGTTTATTTAAACTTGCTGTTAAAGTTCATCTGTGTAAGGCCATTATAATTCATATTAATACTTAGTTGAACAAATTTACTTTGCTTGTTATCCACTCGTGTTTTTTTTTATATTCCCCAATTTTATAGTTTTGTGCGAGGGGGTGGGGGGTAGAGCAGTGTGGCAGTGGTTAGCGCTCTCCACTATGAACCTGGAAACCCGAGTTGGATTTCCGGGCCATGGCTAAAATCGGTAGTGAGTGACATGAACCTATTTTGACCCCTATGCTGCTGAAGGTGATGGTCAAATAATCCCCACGACCCGCACAGTGTGGGGGAGGCCCTCGTCCAGCGTTGGATCGACAGGAGGCCGTAAATAGCTTTAAAGAAAAATATTTATTTCACCTTTATTTAACCAGGTAAAAAACCCTTGAGGTTAATTCAGATTTTTCACAGCTACTAAATGCAATCTGAAGCCACCGTTTACCATTTTGATAAACCCGGTCTGTAGGCCATTATGATAAAAAAAAATGTTGTTGTTGAGCTATAATGCTTATTTATTTGATTAATTTCAAATAAACTAATGCGATTCAATCACATTTCATCAAATTTCAATATTGCTAGTTTTTTTATTTATTTAGTGTCTTTATGCATCCTGGAGAAATCCGATTAAGGTAATTATATCCTAAAATTTGAATACACAAGGAGGATATTGAGTGATGAAGTCAGCTAAGCGTGCCTCCAGCCAAATCCCCTAGAACACACCGCATGTTATTGCATCTCAGAAGTCAAGCAGGTTTGAGCCTGGTTTGTACTTCGATATGATACTGCCTGGATGTACCAGGTTTTGAAAGCTTGGGCACGTGAATTAGCCAGGATATATTAATGCTGAATGTTAGCCCCTCATATATGTAAGTTTCCTCCAAGCGCTCATTCATGGATCTGGCCAAACATTCCAATGTGGGACTGCCCCTTCAAACTAGTCTTGGGAATCATTGAGCCTATCCTGGATAAATAATTGGCATTGTTAGACTGATTGTAATTTGACACACTGTGAGATGAACTGCAATGCTAGTGCTCTGCATGTGGACAGGACAGTGACATAAAGAATCTTTCATCCAACAGTGTATTTTTTCTTCGACTTATAACGCACCACACAATAATTGCTCACTCTCACAGAGAGAGGGAATTGCTTAGAGGTACGAGGAACCAAAGCTACGTGAGAAGGCAGCCGTGCAATGAGCCGGCACCAACAATGGCCCAAGATCTGCCACCCTCTATAAGGAAATTGTTGGTCGGACAACTTGTGAACGTTTACACGTGGGAGGAATCCAAAGCACATGGAGAAAAACCCACGAGTGTGTGAGGGGGGGGGGGGAACGCTCTATCCCATACATACGGAACACGTGGAGTCCTCGCTTGCTGTACTGCGTCCTCCTGGTAAGCCAGGGTGGGGCCCACGATGCCCACGGGAAGGGAGTTTCACAGCATTATTCTAATCCAACAACCAATGCCTGCACAGTGCTCAATCACCACCTGCCCGGTACATTGTTAGTTGCTCATTTGTATATGTACAGCCCACTGCTGGATGAGGGCCTTCCGTTGCTGTGCGGGTCGTGGAGGGGGGTGGGGGTGTATTTAACAATGCTTTACCACACTAGTCAGTGCAGGGTAGGGAAGGCAAGCATCATAGTCTTCGGGGGCATAGATGTTCAATATCAAAATGGAGATTGCTGCACTGGCCTCCGTTGCCTGCACTACTTATTATGCATCGCAGTAGCCCATCCAAACAGTATCCATGCTCAACCCCGCGTATCCTCCCAGATCTGACGAGGTCAGGAGCATTCTGGGAAATTTGGCTGATTGCTTGTAAATATACGAGTAATTGCAATGTGTGAAATTAAACATATAAAAATATGCACATCCTTACGCAGTGTTGGTGTTCACTATATATGCCCCCATCCCCCCCCCCCTCCCCCTTTTAGGATTGGGAGTTCCCTCATTTCATTGGAGCAATGGACGTGAAACTGCCTGGCCTCCACACCTCCCACATTCAGCTACAGCTGCCAAGATGCATCTTCAGAGAGGTTTACCACATCCACATCACGGGTAACTGTGTGCTCATGGGCAGCGGAGTGAAGGAGCATTAAAAGAACACGCACGGGATCCATACTCTTTGGTTCTTTCGGTAAAGTCACGTAGGTATAAAATAAAATAAATCACGACATTTCGATCGCAACACAAGCGGTCGTCCTCAGGCGGAAAAAATATAATCCAGCAGTGGAACTGCTGAACCAGCGAGAGAGTAGGTTCAACGATAATCCAGTGGTGGAACTGCTGAACCACCACTGCTGGATTATATTTTTTCCGCCTGAGGACGACCGCTTGTGTTGCGATCGAAACGTCGTGATTTATTTTATTTTCTACCCACGTGACTTTACCGAAAGAACCAAAGAGTATGGATTCCTGCAGTCACGAAAGCTTCAAATCAAGATGGGAGCCAATGTTAATGAACTGGAGCGCACACTTGATTTCAGCAGATTTTATTGCAATTGTTCCCAGAAATTATTTTTATAATTTTAACAAAATGCATTTTCTATCTTGGTGATATGATTAAGAAGTGTGTTTATCCATAATGCCCCACAGTATCACATAATGCATACAATATAGATTATTTTTTGCATTGAACAGGGTCCTAACGATTAGATGGAGTGTACATACCAATAACATCTGGGAACCCAGTACCATTTATTTAATAAGCCTGATCCTGCTGATGGGTCTCCGCAGGACGAACATATATAAATTTTGCTTGCTTAAACAAATGCTACTGGATAATATTGGTCTGGAAAGCCAATAGGCCGATGGACATAAACACATTTTTATTTACGTGCGAATACGCAGAACGTAGTTCTGATTTGATAAACTTTTACCCACAATGCTTTACACACGAGTTTGTATGCAGTGCATTTCAACTGAATCATTCTGAATGTAAACCGCACGTAAAAAAAACAATCTCACACGACTTTTCTCGTGATATCAGGCAAATGGTTTAACTACGGCATCATCATACTGGTGCTCATCTTGGACCTGAACATGTGGAAGAATCAGATCTTCTACAAACCCTACGAATACGGCCAGTACCTCTCCCCGAGCCTCAACATCTACACGGTGACCAACGTGAGCCACTTCAGAGCCTTCAACGCGAGCACCTTCACCTGGGAGTGGCGCACCGCGCACGTCAACCCGGACACCAACCGCACATATACCCAGGGTGACCTGTTCATGTTCAGCAAGTTCGTGGACACCGGTCTCTCCACCAAATGCCTCGCCTTCCTGCCCAGCCTGCTGGCCTTCACCATGTTCGGCATCTTCGTCGTCGTCTTCGGCCGATTCAAGGAGGGCGAGCTGCTGCCGGGGGACGTCAAGATGTACCAGAAGGTGGAGAGTGTCGGCTTCCCGTGCTTCAAAACCATGCTGCTGACCCGCGTGCCCAAAGGTCACGGTGGCGGCAGCGGCGACGGCTCGTGCCCAAGGCGAGCCGAAGCGGGCGACAAGGCCCTCCACGATTTCCAGGCGGAAGGAGACCTCGGGAATGTTGAGCCGCGTTCGAAGGTCGGCCGAGACTCTGACACGAACTGCGGCACGGAGGACGACTGCCATGGCCGCTCGGACTCCCAACCCAACCCAGTGCGTGAAACGGAGCTCCTGTGACGAGTGTGGTAGAGATACCAGTTCCTCCCCCCCCCCCCGCCCGCCCGCCCGGTTACTTTGATGCCTTCAAACCGGCATTACGCCTGTTGTGTAAAATTTAACGATATCAATAAAAGAAAACACGTACACGCCTTGCCTTATAAATAAAATAGCTGCCCAAGCGCGATGAGCCGGAGTCGCGTTAAGTGTGCACGCAAATGCGGAACGCAGTTGGCTCGCTCGGCGGGGAGCGAGGGGAGGGTGTACGGAACCGTGCACGCGTGCGTAGGTTAAACGTGATGAATATTTGTTGCTTAACTCTAAACGAATATAGATTGGTTTGTTGTGGTGAATATGGTTCAAATGTGGTCGACAGCTGTGCTGGTAATGTAGAAGGCTATTCGTGCTTGACTGCCAGCCCATTTAAAACTACTGAGGTGTCACGTCCCCATAAATGCTCTGGCGTATTGAACATCTCCTCCCTTTATTAAGTTGGAAACAATACACCTGGCATAGCCTGGAATGGCTGTGTAGTTCTCATTGAAAAAAGCCCAAGCAGAAATAAGCGATGATCAGTGTGGTGAAGTATGGGCAAATAACACTCATATGACCTGCACGACGTGGGAAGGCCGTCATCCAGCAGCGAATTGACAACAAGGGCTGTTCACGTGGTCCATCCCATGACCTGTGAGCGAGCCTTCGACACTTCACACGGCCTCGGAGTGCACCTGGCCTGGCACAAGCGCCGTGGTGGCGTCCCCGCCAATTGGTGGCGGCTGTTGCTGTTTGTTGCGGTTTGTTACTGTGGACAAGGACGGCAAATCCTCGCGCAGCCTTCGGGTGACGCGAGCGGGCAGATTGTCTGAGTGGGCAGTGCGACGGCCACTCGCACTCAGACAAATGGGCGATGGTCACCGCGGTACACCAAGGGATGTACGTGCCTGCACGGACAATAGCGAGACTTAAGTACATTTTGATTTAAAGCTTTTGTGACTGCAGGGATTCATATTCTTGGTTCTTTCGGTAAAGTCACACAAGCAATCATCATCAGGTGTGATGATGATTGCTTGTGTTGCAGTCGAAACGTCGTGAGAATTTGTTTTAGATTTGTATTATTTTATTGTTTCCCTTCTACGTGACTTTACCGAAAGAACCAAGAATATGAGACTTAAGTACTCGTGCTAACGTCTCGTTATCGTCGGTGGTCACCGACAACTCCCTGGCTCGGATGCAGTTGAACTGGGTGGCTGGGCACAGGACGTACGTACGTTGAACTTCTTTCGCACCGTACGTAGCCAACCGTGCTCATCCGAGGTGCGGATGCCCGGCACAGAGGATGGAGTTCAATCATGTCCGAGCCGGAGCATGTCGGTGACTCACCAGATGAACACACGCGTATTAAGCGTCTTTCCAGAAGAAGAATCCCACACTACTTGGATAATTAAAGCTTATGTGCGGAGCCTTTTCAAAAATATGAAGGTACTGCAATGGGAGGAAAAATGTTTTCTGTATTTCACTGAGCTGTTCGGCATGTTAAAACGGCACCCAGTATGCCCGTTAACCTAATTGAATCTTAAAACTTCTGTAAGAAATTTAACAAAAAATGTTTGGCTTCCTTTATTTTTTTTGTCACCGATGCAATGGCATTTTTTCGCTGCAAACTCAGCTCTAAATGTTTAATATTTGGGGGGGGCGGAAGGAGGGAGGTTGCTCATTGCCCGCTTGGTTGTGGGTGTTTTGCGCACAATGCACAGACACCTCTCGTTATTATTCAGAGAGCCGTTACCAAAAGACGCTCTCCGCTGAGGTATCCGTTTGATCGTTTATAAACAACACAAATATCCGAAGAGGGTTTCCCCTTTTTTCTGGCAACAAAACAGCTGTGTTAAGATGTTAAAACACCAAACTGAAAGCTTTTATAAGGAATCATGTCTGCATTAACCGCAATACTTGTGGACAGAATGCAAACAAAAACATACTCTGACAATATATGCATTTTGATTTAAATCTTTCGTGACTGCAGGGATTCATATTATTGGTTCTTTCGGTAAAGTCACGTAGACGGGAAACAATAAAATAATAAAAATATAAAACAATAAAATTCTCACGACGTTTCGACTGCAACACAAGCAATCATCATCAGGTGTGAAAACCACTGCAAGAAAATTTGAAAAAAGTGGCGGTTATTTTTAACGTTAGCACCACGGAGAGCGATTTGGCAGTTATTCAGATGGACGAGTCCATCTATGTTCGGAAAAGAGGAGGGGGGAGACGAAAATAATGGATGCGGTCTGAAAGCCACTGTAGGTGTGAACAATCAATACCCGAACTGGTTTATCAAATCCTTCCAATGATTGCTAAGCCAGAATCCATCTTCTCGGTTGAAATTGTCTCTGTGTTTGTGTATGTGGATAGCCTCATGAACGAATCTCTCATGGTAGCCAGATGGCTTGCAAAGAACCTCTGTCTTGGAGAAGTCCATGTCATGTGAGCCTACTGAATTATAACAGTGATCTGCCACGGCCGAGGTGTTGGTCCTACCGTGTTTTAGGTCTGCTTTGTGTTCACGAATGCAGTCCGAGACATGTCGTTTGGTTTCTCCAATGTAACTACTACCACAGAGTCAACTTAGTGTGTAGACGCCAGGGTACTGTATGTCCGGAATCACATCTTTTACAGACTGAACCAGATCACGGATTTTATGTAATGTGTTGAATCGGACCTGGATCTTGTGAATAAGGAAACTACATCAAAACTAACAAGCAGGTCGTCTGGGGACAGGGGAATACCCGTGATTGTAGATACCAAGACAGAGGTTCTTTACAAGCCATCTGGCTGCCATGAGAGATTCGTTCATGATGCTATCCACATATACAAACACGAGACAATTTCAACCGAGAAGATGGATTCTGGCTTAGCAATCATTATAAGGATTTGATAAACCATTTCGGGTCTTAATTGATTGTTCACGCTTACAGTGGCTTTCAGACCGCATCCATTATTTTCGTCTCCCCCCTCCTCTTTTCCGAACATAGATGGACTCGTCCATCTGAATAACTGCCAAATCGCTCTCCGTGGTACTAACGTAAAAAAAAACCGCCACTTTTTTCAAATTTTCTTGTTGTGGTTTTCACACCTGATGATGATTGCTTGTGTTGCAGTCGAAACGTCGTGAGAATTGTATTGTTTTATATTTTTATTATTTTATTGTTTCCCTTCTACGTGACTTTACCGAAAGAACCAATAATATAATATATGCATTGTCTTTGAAACTGATTAGTCGACACCAGAGACAGCTTTCTTTGATGCCTCGTCTCTAACGGTGTTAGACCAGAGGACACCAAAAATATAATTAGTGGTTAGTTTCACAAGTTTGAAAATGGAGACATTAAGGGTAATTCTCCCCCCCCCCCACCCACTCACCAACAATTGTCCGAAAAATGTATCTGAAAGTTCTTGCGACGGTAGTTGGTAAAGGTAAGTTCAACTTTATTTCGGAGGAATATTTGCGCGGTTTCCAGAGTAACTCGGAAGAACTGTGTCGACGCACGTCTCTTGCGATCGCGTACGATTCTGTCGGTCTCGTGCGTACGCAGTCCCGTGTCTTCCTCCGTCACGTTTCCCGTCTTCTTCGGTGAGTCTCGATGGCACTCTTCGTGGTGCCTTGTGTTTATATTGTTTTTTTTTAATGTCTTAGTATTTAATTAATAAATGAATCGCATTCGTCTAAGTATGTGCCCCATCTAGAGTATGTTTTTTTTTGCACTTCAGTATTTAAGTACATTCAGTAACGGTAAAAATCTACAAATTGAATGTAATAATGAAAAGCAGCATACCAACGCACCCGCAGAGGAACGGCGTCAGTAGGTGATATTGCCTGCTGTGGTATGTGGACCAGAGACATGGACAGTGATAAAGGCAGTGGAACAAAAACCTGAGAAGTACACTAAAGAGGCATGGATAGTTATAGTTACTTGCTGCGAACTAAACTGACGAGACAGAAATGGGAACACGTGTGTCAACAACATAAATTAGAGATATTGACTGGGCAGGACACATCGACATCACTCTTCTTTGCTTGAAGTCGCGCAAGCCCTCTTGGACCCCCATGTGCTCAACCTCAAACAATGCGAATTAAACCCCCGATGAAGCCTGGAGAGCTGAATGGAGTTCAACAGAACTCGCAAAAAAAAAAACGACACCTCGTGAAAGACCCAACGCACAAGATCCCCTGGGTTTGATCTTCCACGAAGCTCACGGTCCACCCTAAATCGCATCCACTGCACAAAGCCATGGCAGATGCAGATACCCGATGCACAAAATATGTCAAGTTAAAGACTCTCTCCAGTGTGCAATTGCGGTCATTCAGAACCGACCGTACAACGTGTAACGTCGCAATGCACAATCCGAATATAACAAGGAGACAATCACAGCGATCGACTCCGCTAATGCTGACGCGGTTATCTGGCTTGACCACCCGAATGTGACATTGTAGTTGCTGCTTTGCGTCGACATCAACAGCCATACGAAGGAAGAGCAATGAGATCACGAGACGAAACTGGTGGCGGATTGTCGGCCAAACGAGGGGAGCACGCCCGAGGGGACCACCACCGGCAGAGCTGCGGCGATGGAGGTTGATTCGCGTACAGGAGCGAGAAGGTGGAGTATTGCACCGCGAGACAGCGAGGGAGGGTGACGACACGGGGAAGTGGAGCTGAGCATTTCTCATGAAGTGAGATCCGAGCGTGACTTCCCAGTCTCGCAGTAAGGATTGAAACTAGGATCGAATTCGATTTGCTAAGGGACATCGGTAGAATCGCGGAATCGGTACGGAGGCTGGGCTGCAGGGAGTCCAAGCGTGGTGTTTAGTCAAGAAGGCCAATTTGTCCTAGGCGGCCTAAGTAGAATTTGCCATTGCAACATATGTCCTGTGCCTATTTGGTAATTCTGGTCAATGCCAGCCCTGTGGTATCAGGGTTCACATCTGGGACTCACAACTGGGATAACCGATGATATTCTATCGCGACCACTGCGACCCCCACACGGAGACGTTTTTAGAACATGACTCGAACCGCCACTCGAGCAACCGCGACTACCAGGACTGCCACTTGGATTATGTTTACATACGAACTGTATGTACACCTGTCTCCACACTGTCAGCTTTCAAACAAAAATGTCAGGTTGACAGTCGTACAACACCAAATAACGAAACTTAAGAGGTAAACAAAATAAACAAAAATAAATGGAAATATACAGATATGAGAATAGGTTTTGACCCTTTTATCTGGCAAACAAAACTGACACCTTTTTAAAAGGGATCATGTTTGCATTAACCACAATACTTGCGGTCAAAATGCAAACAAAAAAACAGCACTCTGATAATGTATGTGGCATTGTCCTTGAAATTGATTGGTCCACACCAGAGACAGATTTCGTTAGAGCCCAGTCTCACATGGTGTTGGACCAGATAACGCCAAAAGGTGCACAACTCAAAGACAACGCACCATCAGAGTATTGAGAGCTCGGGGTAAGCATTTACATCATGATACCTCCTTTGCCACTAGCAATGATGATGAAATATACAGATACGCAATGTTGGGTGAAATTTACCCACAGGGAAACTTCGTGGAAGTGAACGTTTGGGACTATACCGTACTAATGGGTCATACTCGTGCTGAAACTGATCTACAGTCTGTCACTGATGCCTGTCAGTCGGCACATTTTCTCATTTATTTTTTTATGTTCACCGAAGACAAGAGGACCACAATGCAGTGCTCCAGGAGCTGCTGATGGTTGTATGCATAATGCACATAGGCTGAGTGCTTCTTGTAGTGTATTAGCAAACAGTTATCTTACGTCTTCTCTTCCCCCCCCCAAAAAAAAACACACGTTCATATTTGCTGAAGGTCACTCATCCACCTACCTCGTGGTCCTCAATGTGATGCTCATTGGGTTTACTGTCAGGGCAGTGGATGTGTCGCCATTCCCATGGAGGCATCCCCATGGGGCACATCTTCCCTCAATGGTAGTGGACATGCGCAAGTCAAAGACATCATTGAATGTATGTTTAACTTTTTTTCCACCGTAAGAAAGTGAAACGATGCTGGGGAAGGACAACAAACTAAACACAAAAAGTAGTGCTCAAGAAATGCGTTTTCAATCCAGATTTAAAAGTGCATAACTCCAGTGGCTTCCAAATATCGTAAGGAAGGGTGTTCCAGATGGCAGCAGAAGCGCATCTGAAAGCCACGCGCGATGCGGCGACCGCCTTTGTTTGACGGTTCGCCAAAAGCCGCTGCGAGGGTGACCGGAGTTCGCGTGACAGTTTAGGCTCCTTGACGAAGATCAGAAACGTAGCGTGGTTCATTTGTGGCAAGCGCTTCTGTGTGTAATGAGTGCGACCTCAAAATGTATTCGTTCGGCAACCGGAAGCCAATGCAGCTCAACGAGCACATGATGGACACGGCTGGATCTTACTGCTAAGAAAAGTGAGTACTGTTGCTATTGTATTTTACCAGGGGAGGCCCACTGAGTTATATAGCTATTTTTCAGAAGCGACCTTCCCACAAATTAATGCTCAACGAAGTGGCTAGTCATGCGGAAATGGATAGCGGCCAAATACTGTTGATTCTAAATGTGGAGGGGAAAACCGGAGGCACTGGATAAAATTCCATGCGACCACGGAGAGAGAGACACGCAAACTCCACATATACAGCAGGCGTGAGGATCGGGATTGAACCCACGACCTCCTGTATACCAGGTGAGGTAGTTAACATTTCGCCACCATGGCGCCCAGTAGCTTGGGCAAGACACGTCGCTCGAAGGGATGATGACCGGTGGTCAAGGATAACAACGGAGTGGCAGACAAGGGATGGAGTGCATCTGTGGGCATGTCCACCACGGAGATGGAGCGATGGAATTCGCTCCTGTGCAGGTCCTGGTGGATTACTGCATCGCAGGATGAAGTGAAAGG